CCTAGGGGATTTCACTGGGAACTTCTGACAATTGCCTGTCTTCAGAATAAATTGGACTCTGGCAGGGAGGCTTATTAAGAACCTTTCCTTTCCCTCCTATGAGGGGAATGAGCAAATTCCACAGAGGGGACATATTTGATCACTTCACTGGAGATCTTTATTCCAGAGAGCTATTTGTGCCCACAACCCAACCCACTGGGCATGATAGTGGGAACCTAAGCAGAGAGACACAATTATTAAAATTTTTTAAAATACAACACAACTCTAATAAGGAGCTGATTTGGAGAGAACAGGATGTTGTCGTTTTTCATCTCACTGCTTAAGAGCTGTGTTTTACCACCCCCTGCTTCACTAATACTGCTACATGTGAATGCCTCCAAGTACTATGTTAGTCTATCGGTCTTGGAAGGTATGAAGTGTTGTGACAACAGAAAGGCCTGGACAGATATGGCAATAACATTAGTTCTAGATTACAGAGCAGCAAATGAGGCTGAAGACAAATTATTTGCGCAAACGCATGGGGAATATAAGACTCAAGACTGTGGTCTGTTTCATTGTGGCCTAAGCATTCACTGGTAAAGGCCTTCTCCAGGATGGCTCTTTATATAGTTTGGATTGTTCACTTCAAGGTACCTGAGTTGCATTTACTACTTTTCCTCCTGTGTTACTGGCTATTCCACTCACTTTATTCTTACAGCAAACCCATGAAGCAGGTTAGCTTACAGTAAGAATGGCTTGCTCAAGCTCATAGGGCTATCACACAAATGAGGTTTCTATTCCGTGTTCATAGACCCAAATGGCAGCCATTGCTACTCACAGGAAACAAGGGTGAGCAACATATTCTTGGACTGAAACTCGTATGGACAGAGCTGCTGGGAGTTGCAGGCCAAGACTATCTGGAGGCTCACAGGTTGCCCACCTTGACACAGAATGGTAGAAATGGAAGAGGTCATGAACAGGTCCATCCATTGAGTCACTGTTTGACAATAACTTCTGTCAGCCATTCCCCTTATCCAGTGCTCGACTACAATGGCAGAGCTGGCTTCATCATATCTGACTCAGCCTTAATGGGCAGCCTCGACTACGGTTTATCTAATCAGCCTTTAGGGCCAGAACTATGGCTGTGTAATTGTATGTAGTCAATTTAATTGGGCCTGTCTCTGAAATCCAGGCCACGGTATAATGCAGACCTGAATATCCAGCTGCTGCTTCAAGGGTGATAACTATGCATCTGCTTCTTGCTGAGCGCAATTATTCCCTACAGCAGTGGTTCCCAACCTTGGGTCCCCATATGATCTTAGATTAAAAGTCCAAGACATCTTTACCACTAGCTATACTGGCTGGAATTTCTGGAAGGTGTAGTCCAAAAACACCTGGGGATGCATAGTTGAGAACCATGGACCTATAGTAATCATGTGATTTTAGCATGAACTTCATTGTCATCATCAAAGTCTCAGATCTGTCTTTGTTCTTTTTTTTCATTGTTAACGTTGTTCATCTTTCCTTCTGCCTCTTCTTTCTTCCTTCAGTGCTCTCTGTCTCTTTGTAATTCTTTCCCTGATTTCATCATTGTTCCACCCAGTCTCCCAGGACCTGACTTCCTTGCTTCTCTTGCTAATTTCCAAAGCTGCAACTTTCTGTTTTCTGCTTGCTGAATCCTTAAGCCATGTGTCTACATTTTCTGCATTCCCTTCTACTTTGGCAAGAAGTCCATGATAATGAGATGCTTTTTTGTTTTTCTTTTAACTGCAGTCATACGCCAAGCATTTAAGTATTATCTCAAAATATGTCTATTGTATAGAAAGCCAACTACTTAGAGTAATATGTGTCTTTTAACTGCAGTCATACGCCAAGCATTTTAGTACTGTATTATCTCAAAATATGTCTTTTGTATGGAAAGCCAACTACTTAGAGAAACATGGGCCTATAAGAATTCTGAAATTATTTATCAAAGTAGGAAATGCATGGCTATGCTATCTGTAGGACTTGAGAAATTGGAGTCCAAAAACCTCAAAATATGTCTATTGTATAGAAAGCCAACTACTTAGAGTAATATGTGTCTATAAGAATTCTGAAATTATTTATCAAAGTAGGAAATGCCCCGCTATGCTATCTGTAGGACTTGAGAAGTTGGAGTAAAAAAAAAGTACTGTACCGTATTTTTCCATGTATGAGACTATACTTTTGTCTAAAATTTTTAGACAAAAAATTGAGGGTCGTCTTATACATGCAAGTAAGCTGAGGAGAGAACAAAAACAAGTGGAAGGGAAAGCAGGGATCAAATTGTTCCTGCAGCACTTTGATCCCTTTTCCCCTACACTTGCTGAGCCCCACTTATATTTCTTAATTTTGGATTAGAAAAGTGTCTTATACAGTACATGGAAAAATACGGTAACTTTTCCTTTATCTGGAAGCCCCAGAGTATTTTATATTCTTCGGGTATTTGGAATAAAAGTGTCACAATGAAAAGTGTGTCAAACTTTTCCCCACACATATCTGTCATTAATCCATTTGCTATCTACATGTGGATGCTTTCCATGCCATTTTGAACCTGGAAATCAGAGTTTAAAATCATCTGCAGAAGTTCAGTGCAGTGAGAAAATGCTCCACTTTAGAAGTTAATTCTCCCATATGGAGAGGGCAACAGAAATGACAACACAGGGAGTGATTAGTGACCATCCTTTTTCACATATTTACTTCTATCCAGAAAGGTGGAGCTTGGAATGTTAATTTTTAACACTCATTGTTTACATCAAAAGTAATTGGTTACAACTGTGTATGGATTGAGTGCTTATTGGATGAGTGCAAATTTAAGATATTGCTGTTTAAGATATGTGTGCTTTGGGCTTGCTTTTTAGACTATTGATTGGTCACCGGTGGAAGAAATAATGAAAAATTGTCTAGGCCTGGACCTTGAGATACAGATTCTTAACTGCTGTTAGTGTAAGTGGTTTAACACTGCCTCCCGCCTCCTGCACAGAATGTTACATAGATAAAGGAGAGTGGTTCAGATTTTGCAGGCAAAAATAATGTTAGATTTGGTGGTACTGACATTCCTTGGGGATTAACAGTGCCTGTGCATTTGCTTGTTTACTCTCAGGACAAGCCCACAGCTTGGCCTTGAGATAGAGGCCTCAGACCAGGAGGGCCTTGCCACTTGCTCTATCCAGCATGTCCTGGGCTTAAGAAGAATCAGTGCAACCTGACAGACAGCTCACCACTACAAGATAATGCACAGGTTGACTGGTTTGCAGAATGTGTGGATATTATGCATCCTGAATGTTTAGGCACATGGCCGGAAGAGTGTGTGTGTAAATCTTCAAACGGGCTACCTCCAGCTATCTGTCAGGATCTGTAAATTCCTCTTTATCTTCATCCAAGATCTCACCCCCTTCTGCGCATAGCCCAGGGAAACTCTTTGGCTATGGATATTGCAGGGCTAGGAAATATGGCTCCCAAAAGTCATTTTTCTAAGTCCTGGTCCTGGCAATGCTTGTGATATCTCCTTGTTCATAGTGAAGAGAATATTGTGAAAACATGTGTATCTCGTCCAAGGAGATATGACTCTGCACAGCCTGCCTTGAAATACTTTAATGTAAATATCTACAATATCTGTATTGCTTCTTATACCATAGATAAGAGACTGTATGAGCAGCGGTTAAAATAGCAGATGGAGCAGCTGCTTTCCAGTGTTATTTGCTGCTTCCCAGCCTTTCTAGTTTGCTCTGAGTTTTAAAGATCTCTATATTTATTCTGTGCTGGATTTCAACCTTGTGCATACATATGCACCAACCAGGGATGTTGGCAAGTCTTTGGGTCTGAGTCCCAAGTCTGAGTCTGTGTCTTTTGTACCAAGTCCCGAGTCCCAAATCTGAGTCCCTATTAAAATCAAGAGTCCAAGTCACTGGGGAAAAAAATTGAGTCAAGTCCGAGTCACCGGTGCAACTTAAGCTTGACAGTGAGTCCCACAACCTGAGTCCCCATCCTTGCATCCAGCTACCATATGTCCTGGAATGGAGAAAGGAATATAAATTAATTGAAGAAATTAAAGAAAAGGAATTTTATTTTATTTTATTTTATTTATTAGATTTATATACCACCCATCTAGAACGTGTCTACTCTGGTTTACATATAGTATAAAAATATACTGAGGTAAAATCCAAATTAATCTCAAAGTCCAAGATGAGGAAAGGAAAAAAAAAACGAGAGGGGAAAAAGGGAAAGGAAGATAGGCTAGGTAATGGCTCTCGGGAAGGCCTGTCTGTATAGCCATGTCTTCGAGCTAGTCTTGAAGGTCCTCAGTGAGGGAGCCGGGTGGATCTCTACAGGTAAGCTGTTCCATAGACAAGGAGCCACTGCCAAGAAGACCTGGTTCCCAGTTTATTCCCACTAGGCCTGTCTTGGCATTAGGCCCCTCAACTGCCCAGCCTGACTAGAGCAGGTGATAGGGGTAGAACTGGGTGGAAAAAAGGCACTTTGCCAGGTATCAAGGCCTAGACCATTAAGGGCTTGGTATGTAATATTTAGCACCTTGAAACTGGTGCGGAACTGGATAGGTAGCCAGTGTAAGGCAGCCAAGATGGGGAAAAAGATGGTGAAATCTTTTCACCCCTGTTAATAGTCTGGCCGCCGTGTTCTGGACCATCTAGAGCTTCCACGTCATTCTCAAAGGAAGCCCCATGTAGAGAGTGTTACAGTAGTTTATTCTGGAGACTACAAGCGCATGGACCAGTGTGGTGAGCGCCCCCGCGTCTAGATAGGGACGCAGCCGGGCAATCCCCATTCTTTCCAGCTGTGTCTCTACATAGGGATGCAGCTGAAAAGAAAAAAGCATCAGCAAAATCTGGTTTACTCATTTCTATTCTGCTTTTGAACTTCATTTCTCATGTTACTAGACCTCATGTTGCTTGCAGCACATTATAGTCTGGATGTAAACTGGTCATTTTTGATATTTACAATATTCATCTTCTAATATATCTCAACATTCCTTTTATTGACAGATGTGGAAAAGAATGGAAGGGCAACCGTTGCCACATAAAAGCTGAGCCTCCTTTGATTCCATCTTCAGGCTCCCTTCAAAATGGTGAGTCCAGTGAAATCAGTAAATAACTCCAGGTAATTCTGTGGCAAGGTGTGTTTGCTTATTTACCTCATTCCTTTATGTGTCTCTGCAGATACTTGGACTGGGGTGGGTATTGGATTAGCTTTCCTGTTGATTGAAATTGCGGTCGCTGTTTCATGCATCCTTGCAAAGAGGAAATTACCAAGAACGTAAGTGAAGGCTTTCATTGTAGTATATAAAGAAAATCAGGCCCCAGAGTGGAACAAAGCAAGGGAACACAGTCCATTTTCTTGGTCCAGCTTTTAAATCTCACCTTGGGCTGTTTACTGACAGGAGTAACACAAACGTTTTCCAACCCTAGATGATTTTAAGTGGATGTAATAAGTTTCAAAAAAAAGAGTAGGTTCCAGCTTGATTACCTCAACACAGTGTGATTTAGATGACAATATTATGCCCTCTATTATTACAAATTCAGCACCATTAATTAAATGTCTTTATGGTGTCGTGTCAGGGAGTTGCTATGGCTTTTTGCGAAATCTTTCCAAGGACAATGAGACATCAGCTTCCACTGAGGTACTCCTGGGAGCTCTTCATACCTCTGAAAACAGATTTAAGAACAAATCATGTTTTCATGTAAAACTGTATTTGAAAATTAAAATTCCTTTGCTTATGAAACCTGCTTTCCATGTGTCAATAGATGCTAGTGTTAGATTTGGCCTTTCATTCACAGACACAAAAATGATTTAGGAGTATATACTGTATAACATTTGTTGTCTTCTTGAGGCAATGAAGGTGGTGAAATGCTCTTGATTGGGTATATGTGCATATCTCATATTGTATATCTGATCATGATCAGCTTGGGTGGCTTCAGTCACCTGATAGAGTTGCATATCTCAGGAGCAGAACAGAGCTGGGAGTAGCATTAAAAATTTGTAATTAATTCTTTTTGGAGCAATTAAGGCATAACTAAGTTGCCTTGCTGTTGTAACACAGTGAAGGATAATTTCACAGCTTTTGGAGTGCATCTATTTTAGTTACTTTTATAGTTTCAGGTTGTTTGTAGCCTGTGTTTTATACAGCTTACCAGTGGACTTTAGCAGTTTGATGGCTTTTTCCAGTACCTATTTTAATTGCTTTGAATAACAAGAAATTAGAGTTGAGCCATAAGTCAGAAGTCTCAAGTCAGACTTGAGACACACAATTTTTATTGTTATTAAATAATTGAAAATGTGTAGCTACAATGACCACTACAGCAGTGTTGATGGAGTCTTGAAATTAATTAATTAATTAATTATATTTATTTATTAGATTTATATACAGTACCACCCATCTAGAACGTTTCTACTCTGGGCAGTTACTTATAACATAAAAATAAACTAAGTTAAACTAAGATGAATACATCATTTTTCTAAAAAATAACTTTCCAAACCTAGGTGGAATGACTGAACAATGTGCATCAACATATTTGTTTGTTGCCAACCAAGCCAGAATTCCCAATACTTCTGGCTTACTGTTTTGTGTGAATACAGGCTATATATTATGGAACGTATTCTGGACAAGGTGAATAAGATGCCAGTTTTACCAAGGAGAATACATAGCTATAAACAAGTAAACTTCCTTGTTTTTTGACCTTCCTAATGTCAGGATATAAATTCTGGGTGAGCATAACCATCTGTATCAATAATTCCAGAAACAGGGGTTTTTGGGGGAGGTTTCTTCTGTACTTCAAAACAACCTCCATGTCAGCAGAAATGTATGACAGAGAAATTTACAAAGAAATCTATGCAGATGATACAGCTGGGAAAGCTTGAAGGACACAGATCCAACAGTCATCCAAGATGAACATCTCATCTAGGAAATTCATCTGCAGAGTTTAGTGCCTCAAGAACAGATCATGGGAAACTGGCTTCTTCATATTCCAATTTCCATTGTTTGTATTTGGTGAAATAATCAGTTCACACCAAGCAGTGGTTCCCAGATGTTCTTGGACTACAACTCCCAGAAGCCCTTGCCAGCACAACTAGTCTGTCTCTGTTTGTTTCTCTCTCTCTCTCTCTCTCTCTCTCTCTCCCATCTCCCTGGTGTGTGTTTGTGTGTGAACCATTAAGGATGTGCATGGGGAGACCAGTGGGGGTTAATTCATCTTGGGTTCTTCTAAATTGCTCCAGTACTTTTGTTTAACACGGAAGAGACCAGCTCATTCAGGATTTTGTTTTTGTTTTGGTTCATTTCTGTCCCTTTGTGTTTACTCTGATTTAAAAGAATAAAAGGCAGAGACAACTCCTACCTCCTTCCCTCTTGGCTCCAGAAAGTTTTTGCAAAAGTTTATCCGTAATGACTATAGCAAATTAGGTTTCTGGTCCTTGGGCTCTGTCCACTACTCCATACTTTCCATCATCCGTAAAATGCCACGATTGTGTGCCTTAATGTTTAGCCTCCTCAAGATATCAAGAGCCATTCTTTGCTGGTGGATGAAGCCCACAAGTCCTTCTGCCTCTAGCTTCAGTCAGCAGAACACCCCGGAGGCTTAAAACAATGCTGCAGAGGAAGGCTGCTAGCCCCGGGCTGTTTTCCTACACACTCCAGTCCCCTCCCACTCCCTCCCTTTCAAAGTGGGTTCTCTATGTTCCACACCATCAGCCTGAGTCCTTTTATCCCAAGAATAATACACAAAGAGGCCAGCAGCACCCTGAGGCTCACTTACTCACCATGAAGACCTTGCTGCACAAACTGCCTGGTCTTGTGGCAGGCTAACAGCCAGCAAATCTGCCTGCTTGCCAGCCTGCCTAGAGCTTTTGCTAGAATGTGCCGTAGCTGCTATGGCCGCAATAGCTGATAATGAAAGAAGCTGAGCCCGGCCCGGCAACTGCAGACTGCCAGCCTCATCGCCGCCACTGCTGCCGCCTTCTCCTTTCAGCTAGGGACGATGCACACTAATTTTATCTCGTCGGCCACTCTGTTTCTCAAGCCAAACTTAGAACAGCAGAGCTGGCAGGGACCCTTAGGGTCACTGAGTCCAGTTCCTATCAAGCAGGCAAAATGAGGAATTCAACTCCCTACCCAGATGCCTAAGCCACTGAGCTGTACCATGGGCACCTGTAGCAAAGAAAATCTCCATATGCTCCCTCAGCAAGATGATGCCTTAGTGCCACATGTGGGCTTACTGCCTGGCACTAATGGCACTGCAGTGGCAGACCAGGATAGAACAAAAGCTAGCCACTTTCCTACGTAGCTGCTATGGCCGCAATAGCTGATAATGAAAGAAGCTGAGCCCGGCCCAGCAACTGCAGACAGACAGCCTCATCGCCGCCACTGTTGTCTTCTTCTCCTTTCAGCTAGGGACGATGGACACTAATTTTACCTCTTGGGCCACTCTGTTTCTCAAGACAAACTTAGAACAGCGGAGCTGGCAGGGACCCTTAGGGTCACTGAGTCCAGTTCCTGTCAAGGAGGCAAAATGAGGAATTGAACTCCCCACCCAGAAGCCTAAGCCACTGAGCTGTACCACGGGCTCCTGTAGCAAAGAAAATCTCCATATGCTCCCTCAGCAAGATGATGCCTTAGTGCCACATGTGGGCTTAATGCCTGGCACTAATGGCACTGCAGTGGCAGACCAGGATAGAACAAAAGCTAGCCACTTTCCTAAAAATTAAATGAAGAGCAGGGTCCCCTACCAATGCAGCAATCCAGCTTTTACCAATTCAGCGTTCTCACTCTCCTCCCCACTGCCCTGGACATTCTGATTGATGGCTGACAGCAGCCCTCAGAGTGCTATGGGCTGAAAAAGTTCTCAGTGGATTTAACAGATAACGAACAAAAGAAGAGTTTAACAGAAGAGAGAAATGTGGAAAAAAAACACAGAACTTTCTTGTGCCCCCTTTTTCTGTTAACACAGATCACATGTATTTAGGAGGCTCTTGTTTGAGAATCAACAGAAGAACCAGGGGGAAAATGGAGCCTCTTTTGGTTTTTGGAAACTGTTTTTTTGTTTTTTTTTTAATTAAAGTCCCATCCTCTGAACTATAATAACACATCACTGGTTCTTTAATCACTGTTGTTGCCATCCGAGGCTACCATAAAAAAGAGTGAGCTATAAATAAAATAGCATTACTAATGATGATGATGATGAACAAATAACTACTAGCCAGTGGCAGAATGAGTTCTCAAGGCTCGTATGGGGGGAAGTCATCACATAATGTGCAGACTAAAAGAATTCCAAGGGCAGCATATGCCCCTCTGTCTTCACCTTTAAAATCTGATGGTTGGATTTGATCTTGGAGCCTGTTTAGATTTGGTAATTGAAGGGTGTCCCTGAAAAATGTATTGCAGTTTCCGAATGTAAGCAGTTTCAGAAGTGAAGTGAAACCTGCAGCCTTATGATCATCAAAGGTATGTCTGGAGCAACTCCATTGCTTCTGCTGAACCGGGCACAATGACAAACTTTTTTATGCAGAATTCCCTGAAGTGCTAGAATGTAAAAGCTGTGCATATTAATGAAGTTTAAGCTCCAGGGGTTTCACTTTGGAGCAAAAAACTAGGAAATGGATGGCAGCTGGCACCTGTTTCCCTCTTTCATTGGCAGCTGTCCTCCTTGACTGAATAAGAGTGACACATCAAAATGACTTTCAGTGGAATGTTATGTAGGAAGACAATGTTTATTACCGGTATAGTTTCCTCTTATATCACAAGAATTCAAAACAGATACATTTTATCAGACAACTATTATTAGGTCATAAAAGCCAATAACTATGTATCTAATGAACCATTTTCCAAAACCTGCCTTTGTTGTTGCTTAAGTTGTGTCCAGCTCTTCATGACCCCATGGAGAAGAGCGTGCCAGGCCCTCCTGTCTTCCACTTCCTCCCAGAGTTTGGTCAAATTCACGTTGGTAGCTTCAATGACACCATCCAACCATCTCGTCCTCGGTCGTCCCCTTCTCCTCTTGCCTTCACACTTTCCCAACATCAGGGGCTTTTCCAGGGAGTCTTCTCATGAGATGGCCAAAGTATCGGAGCCTCAGCTTCAGGATCTGTCCTTCTAGTGAGCACTCAGGGTTGGTATCCTTCAGAATGGAGAAGTTTGATCTCCTTGCAGTCCAGAGGACTTGCAAAAGCTGCCTACTGTGGATCAAATCCAAAGATGCACTCTGTATCAGAGTTTGATCTCCTTGCAGTCCAGAGGACTCGCAAAAGCTGCCTACAGTGGATCA